TGCTGATATGACACATTCTGATTATCTCCGAACGATGAAATGTATTTGACGTCCGCACAGAATAATCTCTATCCAAACTAAGTCTTCATCTCTAAAGACTAAAATGTTGTAACAAGATAAAAAGTTATAATATGAGATCTTGTTTATATCCCTCGTGTTAGTTGGATGTCATGATGAAAGACTCAAATGATGTGGGTATAATATTTTTCTTGAAAATTCAATGGAGAACTCTTGGATTTTATTCATGTTCATTGCTCAACAAATAAAATTTTATGTAAGTGATACTCAGAGGAAGAAAAAATAGAGAGCAAATACATAAAGATTAAAGAGAGTAAAAAAAAATAATCCAATAATTACACTAAATTGAAGTGATTAAGCCAAATTAGCCTACACCCACTAAAAGGGAAGAGCGAAAGAATTACTTTTCCAAAAAAAATTGTTAAAATCTAGGATACAGTTTACCCTAATAAGTTATGACTAATGAACTCATTTTACAAAAGAACAGTTAATAAGCAAAAAAACTAAAGATTTCAAAAAAGAGGGGTGAACGAGCAAATAAATTTTGATCCATTTATTTTAAAAAAAGAGGGGTGAATGAGAAAAAAATTATCTCAAAGACTTATGACGGAGATTTCAGATATTGATCCTTCATATAAAAAAATGTTTCAGAATAAACTATATATGTGGTGATTGACTAAATAGATTTCTTCAAGATGATGAGGGGTCTTAGGTGAGCGTGATAGTAAGAAATACGCCTCTACTCTTCACATAAAAAGGGGGGTGCGGACCTTGGCTTAGAAGAGTTTGAAATTTTAAAGAGTCTCATAGCTCCACTTGAGCATCATTGTCAAACCACTACCTGATTATCATCTTCGAACTACTGCCAAATTGCCATGACTGAATCACCATTAGACACTTGTGGTTGGACAACTGTTTGAACACCATCACTAGGCCATCACCATTTGACCATCGTTTGATTATTGCCATCAGACAATCTTCAATTGAGTATGGTCCTCTGAACGCTATTGCCAAACTATGCTCCAAACACCCCTTTCGTATTATGGTTATTTGAACACTAATAGTAAATAATCTTTTGAAGATTGCTCCCTTATTAGGGTTCTTCCAACCTTCACCATGAAATAAATTTCATATGTTGTATGCCTGTTATATTTTATAAACACCATTGTCAGTCATAGGAAAATTTGTACTACATCATTTATAACTAACAACAAACACACATAGAATTTTAACTTGGCAATGTCCCATGATTTTTCTCTTTTATTTGCTTTCCATACAAACTATGGTACCTCTTGAAACTTTTCTTCAATTTATTTGTATGTTGGATCTTAGTACAAAGTTAGGATGGTACTCTATTTTTATCACCTTGAATATTATGACATGTAATATATCTCAATATGCATATCATTTCTTATAGAAAAATGGTTGGTGATGACGTATGATTATCTAACAATGATTTTATATGACAATAATAGCATAATGAAAGGGTGACGTGATCAAATTATAATCCAAATAATCAAGCATATGATGTAGGCTTCATTTGGGATGACTTTTTTACTGTTTTGTAAAACTATTTTTTAGTATAAAAATATCTTGAAAGCAGAAAAAAAA